CCCCTTGATCTTGCCGCCCACCGTCACCTCACACCCCTTGGCGCCGCACTCCATCACGTGGCGGACGATGCCCATGGCGGCGCGGCGCACCTGCAGGTTGCTCAGCAGCTTAAAGCGGAGTGACTCCGCCTGCGCCATGGCGGAGAGGCCACGCACCTCGACGCGCTCGGCGTACAGCTGCAGCTTGCCCTCCTTGTAGTGAAAGCGCTGCTGCAGGCACGCCGTGAGCTCGCGGATGCGGCGGCCCTTCTCCCCGAGCACCTCGCGCGTCTTTGTGGCACGGATGACGATTTCGGTGCGGGTGGACGTGATGCGGTGCTCCACGCCAGCGAAGCCGTCGTCGGCGAGCTCGCGCTTGAGGAACTCAAACAGCTCGGCGTAAAACACGCCATCACGGACGATCATGCGCTTCTTGGAGAGAGGCCCCATTGCCGTTGTTGCTCCACTAGTGTGTTGTCCCTTTGAGAGTCCACTTGGAAAAAGGGGGACAAAAGCAAAGTGAAAGAAAGAGGAATATGGATCACATGACGAGCCCGCTTGTGCACGCACCTACATGAAGAAAGTGCGAGGGACGGAGGGACGGAGAGTGGCGAGCGCGACCCGTGCCATTAAGACGGATGGAGAGATCGCCCGCCAGAGCCACAGACACGCAATAAGAAAGAAAAAAAATATGTATGAAATTTGAAGGGGGAAAAAGCCTTCATCTCCACTAATTCCTCTCGTTTTTTAGTGCATATATATATATATATATATATATATGCGTGTGTGCGTGTGTGTGTGTGTGTGCTCCTCCTTCGCGCTTCCTCTTGGACCAAGCAGAGCCCCATTGCGGGCCTTTGCGCCCTCACGCGGCGGGGTACGACAGGATGACGCGGTCCCGCATTGGGCATCCCGCCGAAGTCACGGGATGTCGGTGCGTGACGGCGAACCCAAGCCTGCAGAGGGCCGCGAGCGCGGCCTCAACCGCCTCCTCGCCCGTGGCAGCATCATCGATGATCAACTTGGCGTTGCTGCCCACCGCCGCGAGCTCCGCCTCCGACTTCGCCATCGTGCACGGCGCAGTGGCCCTGTCAACGCGGCATATCTTCTCCGCCTCAACCTGCGCCAACACCTCGGGATGGGCAAACTCGTGAAACACCGCCAGGTACATCGCCAGCTGTTCTCCCCGTGCGCGTACACACGTGGAAGAAAACAGTTTTAAGTTAAAGAAAGAAAGAAAAAGGAAAAGAGCGTGTGGTACGACAGCGCGATGGGGCCAAGGCCCCGTTACAGTTTGTCCCACCCGACAGAAGCATCAAAGGCCCAAGCTGTCAGCCCAGCAGCGACGGAGACGGCGTGCGACGCAGCAACGTCTTTGATCAGCGCGGACACACGCTCGTACAAATGGAGCAAGAAGAAGAAAAAACGAAACGAAACAACATATAAGGCCTATAAAAATAGTACAAAACGAAACACTAAAAATAGAGGTTCTTCTCAGAGAAGGGGAACAAGACACCAGAAAATATCGTACCTAATCCATGAAGTGGGACCAAACACGAACGACAAGACGAACACAGTTAGTACTTATCTATCCGTCGCACACACACTCTACATATATATTTCTGTCCGTCTGCGTGTAGATGCGCGGGTGTGCTTACCGGGGCAAGTAATCCACACCACCATGAGGCATCACCTCACATATCCAAATATTCACAACTACATATATATATATATATATATACTTCACCTCAATTGCATCTGTCCTTCATAAGCATAGTGACGGTTTTTTGCTTCTCCCCTCCTCCCTCATCTTCGCTTCCTCCCGCTTTCCATTCACAGACAGTTCATAGTTCTAGCTGACTCAATGGACGGAGGAACATAAACGAGGGCGTTCTTACTACAATGCACAGCTTGCACCGCCTTTGGGTCGGCTGCAAGTTCACCAATGGAGATAGGGCCAACAAAGTGACCGCGGCTTTGCTGCACCACGGCCGCCATTGAGGCCGCCCCCCTATACGGCGCCGTTCCAGGAGCAAGTCCCGTCACGGTGGCACATGCAATGGCCCTCACCACAGCACAAAACCCCGTTGTAGTTACTACGCTGTTGCTCTCAATTCTCTCTGAAACGAGTTGGTCACGGCCCACATCGCTATCACTGTCAAAGTGAAGATCCGGCCCCAAAGCAGGTGCATCCTGGCCGCGGTGGCTGCAGCGGCAGCAACGCCTACAACAGGTGGAGAAAATCCAACCCATTAGTTCCTCCGTATAGAGGAAGAGTAGCACGTTCACCACGGCAGCAAAAGGATACATAAAAGAGACCATGGCCGATAGATAAAAGTCTGCGACAGAGGCGGCGTATGACGCTGACAACGCAACGACGAAGCGCTCCAAGGCACCAAAGAAGTACACCAGAGTAGGATAGGCACAGAAAACTATGATGCGACACGACACAATCGGGTTATCGCGCATCAAGGAAGGGGAAGAACGCCGCAACGTGGTGTACGCATACACCGCACTAAAAAAAAAATCACCGGCCAGGCATATGCTGCAGCCACCTGCAGCAGCACGAGGACCGATTTTTGCCAGAGTCCCGCCTGAGGAGAGAGGTCAGCAGTGGCGGGGATCCAGCACCATGCAAACTTCTGTGAAAAGAAAAGCGTATTATCCAGTGTTCGAGGCGTTTCCAGATGTGCACCATTATGACGTGGCACCACCACAATGTCTGGCACATAGAGCAGCAATATCCAACACAAGAGCAGAGAAACGGAAGCGTACAAGAAGGCAACCAGATAAAACTTCCATGTGAGACGCAGCAGAGCGTGGCGCATAGGATGCTCTGCCGTCGTTACATCAACATCGTCACTGTTTGACACCAACGGCCACTGAAGCACGGAGACGGAAACCGATGTGCCAGCAGCAACAGAATCAGAAGCAGAAGTAGCGGCGGCAGCAGCCGCGGTAGCGGTAGCGGCAGCGGCAGCGGCGACAGTATCATGGGCGGGACTGCCATCACTACCACCACTGCTACGACTATTTCTCGTTGTTCTATTGGTGGAGGGAGGGGGCCCTCCACAACAGGAGAAAAAACGCCTGTAGCAAGAACAAAAGAAAAAGGGAAATCCCCGTCCCGCCGCTTCGCTCTGCCTGGAGCACATACATCGCCGTTTGCGACGATCATCACTTCGACCGTGGGAGGGCTGCGTTATGCCCGACGTGGAGCTCACTCCGCTGCTGCTAAGCCCATGTTCCCATAAAAAGTGGGCAGCTCCCTGGGACCCGCCCTCAGATGTACGAAAGATTCGTCCGTCGTCGCTGTTGCCAACTTGCTCCAGCGAGGAGAGGCGACGACTGTTGGCCAGCACAACAAAAAATACCGTCTGCAGCACTTGCCCCATCGCGTCCAGGCACTGATGAATTGAGGCATTGACGTTGCACATTGCATATGTCATGCCAGAGGGTGAACAGCCACCCGCGTCTACGACGCGTTCCCCCCGCAAGACTGTCATGAGAGCAAAGATGAAAAGCTGCACCGCCTGCAGCACCTGCACCACGACGACCACGACAAACACGTCATTAAATACACTGCGAAGCGCACTCGAATAAAAAAAGCCAAAATATTGGACGAGGAGGAGAATACCAGCCAACACCGCACACACTGCCGCCGCCATGCACATGATGCAGTTCAACCTCGTTGATGAAGAGTACGGAAGTGCACTGCAGTTGCTCGGCGGAGGCATTTTGTCCACATAGCCATCGCCCAGAGAAAACGACTTCATGTGCAGGACGGCACTCACGTACTTTGCCTTCACAGACCCGCAAGAAGTAAGATAAAAAAAAAAAGGTATTTCCACTTATCAATGACAAAAAACACGAAGCCACGCAGACAACGAACGGCGAGCAAAGGAAAAATGGAAGTAAGAGGAAGCACCACACACACACACACACAGTGATGAAGAAATATGTGAAGGAGGAAAATCGCTCAGAATTGCACTGGCGCACTAAGAAGAAGGTGTGAGAGTTAAAAATTTTCGAGGGCATGCGTGGGAACAACCCCACTCGTCTCCCACTACAATCGACAAGTGAGACGCACATAAATGCCTCTTTCTTCCCACTGCAACCATTCCTCGGTGGAGCGTTAAGTGTTAAGCGGCAGAAGGCTCTTCCCTTGTTCACTGCCGCATGGTCTCCATCATGGAAGACATAGCATTAAACTGTACTCGCCGTGTCTCATCCTCGTTCACACGCATATTCGTCATGCGGTAAAGTTCGTCCCACTTGGCGCTGCAGTTCGTGACACACTTCTTCTCGGCAAGGTCGGCGTTCAATCGATAACGAATTGGGGCCTGCGTGGTGCGCAGCAGCGTGTACAGCTCCTCGGTGTCGAGGCAGCGGTCCAGGCAAAACGTCGTGCTACGGTGCAGCATGGCTGACTGGACGCGAACGGAACCCAACAACTGAAAGGCTCGCGTCGCGTCCTGCTCGAATGGTGTCATTGGAGGGGCCTGCGGCTGCATGATTAGCTTCTTCCTTCGCCTCGTTTAAATGCCTTTTCGTCCTCGCCTCTCCGCTCTTCCCCCTTCCTGCGTCTTGTTCCTTTGCTTTCTGACCCTCATCGTGCAAAGCAAAACAAGATGTGTGGCACACCCGCGCATTCACACACAGCGAAGAACGCGTGCGTTGAAATTGTGGGGGTGGGAAAAGGAGAGCAGACGGAAGAAGCAAGAGGGAGAAACTATAAACAGCCGTCGCACCGCAGTGCGTCACCCAACTCACACACAGAAGCTCAAAAAAAAAAAAGCATTGAACTACAAAAAGCAGGACCCCACAACACTTCTCCTTCACACGTCATCCCGAGCTGACGAATTCTGCACTTCCTCGCTCAAGTTTTCTTCTCGGGCCCGCTGCCGCAGCTTGAAGGCAATTAGAATGGGGAACGCGCACGGAAGAAGACGAAACTCACTTTCCCAGCCTACACCGCGACCCACCTTCCCCTTCCCGCCCTGCCTCTTTGTAGGAGGCTACCTCGCCATCCCTGTGCGGTTGCACGAGTGTGTGTGCGTGTGCGTGTCTGTGCATGGAATCCAGTGGGTTCTGCCCCATTTTTTCCTTTGTTTCATGGAAGAGCAAAAAGAATAATTAAAAAACAACGTCCACACGCAAACACGCCCACGCACGGAGAGGCCAAAGAAAGAAAGAAAGAAAGAAAAAAGAACCTTCTTCTCTAGTCAATCTTTCTACATCCTATATCCGACTCCTCCTCACTCATCGACTCATTAAATATCACAATCACCGTCTCTGTATCCCTCTTGTCACCCACGCATTTTTCTCCTGCCACGCATCTCGCTTAATCGCTTCCCCCGCCACTCTTCACAGCTAGCCGCGCAACCCAGAGTTTCCAGGCAGCATAGCACCTTCGCACGCATGTACTGTGTCGGTGCAATTCCGCTGTGTTAGCCACACAGCCCCCTATTGTATTCTTTTTGTTCCTTTTCGCACGGTTTAATCGGTTCTGACCCCACGTACCCTACGACGCCCTCTCTCCCCCCACCCCACCCCCTTTACGTTTCCCCTTTGCTTACAGATGCACCTCCTGCACCCCTCACCCGTCGTTGTGGCTGCTTCCATGACGACGCAGACAGCGACCGCCTCCAATGAGCAATACACCCACGCACAACCCCACGAGAAGAGCTACCCACGTCGATGCCTATGCGTGTCGCCGGAGGGCAACCACCATCCGCCGGCAAGGGTGAAGCGCGGAAACAAGGGCTCAACACATACCAACATAAAAATAAAATCAAAAGGAGATGAGGAAACAACCGGCACCCAATTCACCCTCCTCCTCCTCTTCTAGCACCTTCAGTGCCCTAAACAGGGATAAAATAAAAAATAAAAAAACTCGCCTACGCAATGTTCAATACCTGCCATGCAGGGAATAGTAAGCCGTCGTCCCACACACCCACCTACACGGGCTGTGCGAAGCGTGGCAATGGCACGCGCACTAATAGTGGTAGGATGGGGGCGTGCAAGATGACGTGTAGATTGACGGCATAAACGAGAGACGAGGCAGAAATACCGAGCAAACACGTGTGGGAGAGGGATACTTGGGCGAGCAAAAAAAGGTATAATAAAAAAAACACCGCAAACGAAGCTACTGAAAATAGGGAAAAAGGTGGCAACAAAATACACACTAGAGCCGCCCCGAAAGAATGAAGGAGGCTAAGGTTACATCTTTAGTGCATTAGCCGCAACGAACCTAAACAAGTGAAGTAAAAAAAAGAAGACAGGAATACATGGAAAAAAACACAAGAAAGAAAGAAAAAAAAGAGTAACTTTTTTTTTTTTAGCGTGTCTTTGCGTGCATTTGTTTTTCTTTATTTTCCCTTGCAGTGTGGGACGCGTTCCGCATTCCTTCGGGTCCGCTTTGCACCGGCCCCTCCGTCCTCCAAGTGCAGGAGACCCAAAAAGGAGATGCAGCGTTCAGAACAAAAAAAATGCCGCGCGCACGCAGACACACACGCACATGTAACCAAAATCCTTTCAATTCCTTCTTGCTTTCCCTATCGCTGGTTTCTCTTTTCCCCACCTGCCTCCTTCTTTTTGTTTAACGCTGCGAGAGCACGCGGTGTGAGAGGCGGACCGCGATGTAGCAGACCAGGAACCAAGACACGAGTCCGAGGCTCTTGAGTTCATCCTCCCCCGCGTTGGCCGCCGCCATTGCGACACCCCTCCCCTCAACGTCAGACATTGCAGAGCTACTGACGCTCAGGTTACTCCCTTGCAGAAACAAACACTTGTGGCTGGGCCCTTCCAGAGCACCGTCAGGGTCAACGCCGGGGCTCGGTGAGGCCCACAGCAGTGGACCAAGTAACACCGTCATCGCTACTTTGTCTGCCCACTTCATGGGAGACGGCACACAGTGACGAAAACAGTGTGAAAAAACGACAACGGCTGGACGATTCCCGTAGATGCATAGCATCGGGATCATAAACCCAAAGGATATGAAGAAGCCTATTGCAGTGGGAGTATTTAAGCATAAAAAACCATAGCAATTCTGCAAGAATGCTATCCTATGTGTATCATTTACCGTTTGACTGGTGTTCCGGCAACAATGGAGGACACAACGGTGCTTACGTGCCAGTGCAAGTCGTTTCATGAGCAACTGAACATTCCGGGTAATCCTGCCGTGAATATGCAATTGCTCGGTGGTGTTAAACCTCTCCGCCTCTTCCCGCAGCTGCGCGATTTGTTTCTCTAGTTTACTCTCTTCTGGGTAAAATAGGCGTGGAACCAAGCGCCACCAGTGCAAGTATCCCAGGTATGACACTAGTGTGAATACGGCAATTAGCAACGCCAGTACATTGTCCTCCAAGAAGGGGCACGTTGCCTGCATCTACTACACAAGGGAGTGAGCAGGGGCGGTGGTGCTAGTCCCTAGCAGCGGTGCGCCACGTGCACAAAGAACAAACGCACACCGCCGACTCTCGCAACTGTCGGTGAAGAAGCAGAGAGGTGTGGAAGCGCCATGAAACACGGAGACATGCAGAAAGCAACAGCAACCAAAAAGAAGGGGAAAGAAAAGAAAAGAAAAAAACTCACGACTACTAACTATAGAATGAAACCACCACTCACCACACGGGATTGTAGAAGCAAAGAAGCGCGCAAACATGCACACCCAACACAAGTGCAATTGAAACCCACAAGAGGCATTATCTATCACACGTGTACTTGTTAAAATGCAACTAACAAAACCACCATTATCAATGATCAAAGGTAGGGTTCGCTTGCACGGCACTGCGTCCACACACACCCAGACACGCCTTCCCCCACTCAGCTTTTTCTTCCCAAGTGACGGCTTTCTTTTTCTTTACCCCCACCCTTTAAGTTCCCCTTATGCCTCCCGCGGCGGTGAGGAATTCCTTTCGCTCCCTTTATCATTCTGTTCCCCACCCCTTTTATCTCTCCCTCTATCTATCGGGCTCTATACCATAGACGCTCTACGCAGCAGCTGTGCACCAGCGGCAAGCACTAAAGAAGACGAAGTAAACACAAAAGCAGAAGAAAAAAAAACGTCAAAAACGTCTTTCTTTCTCCTCCCTTTTTTTTGTTTGCTCATCGTTGATTCCGTCATCTTCCGCTTCTTGACGTCTCCCTCGTTCAGTTATCTCTCCTCCATCCCTCTAGCCCCTCTCGAATTTAAGTAAAACGAAGAGACAGCGGAAGGAAAAAAAAGTGTAGCATACGCATGCCGGAATAAATGCATGCGTGCATAAGTATACCTCAAAACGCTTGCAGCGCACATACCGTCAAGGCACGTTGGGAGAGACATCCACCAACCTCGTGCACTGCCGGAGAGAGAATTACTAGAGGAGATACGCAATGCCGTTGTCGTAGAACACAAGCTCACGCTGATGGAAGCTGCGTAGGATTGCCTCTACGGTCTCCATGGCAGACGGTTTGCGGTATCCCATCTGGGCCAACTTCTTCACCACCACAACAGACGTCACAGGGTCGTATAGCTGAACCACCGACGCCACCTTCTTCTCCAGCTGCATCATTGTCCACTCCTCATCCTCCTCATCCTCCTCATTACTATTATTAAGCCGCGATGCGGCCACCGCCTGGTGGACGACGGCTGCAGCAGCGAAAACCTTGTCATTGTGCCGCACTTCCAACTCTGCTTCTCCCTCTACCTCCGCTGGTGCGCCTTCCTCCCCCTCCATGGGAGTTTTGGTTCGCACTTTCGCAGCTGTATCCGAAGCGGACGTGCGTCGCGGAATCCGCGGAGTGTCGTCCATAGAGGAGACATTGCCGTCCACAGCAGTTAGCATGGTACGAGTGTTCTTCCTGTGATTGCCCCTACTCGTGTTGCTGCTGAGCACGGCGGTATTAGTTGCGCCTGTGGGGCCTGGCGGCGTCGCTGCAGTTGTTGCCGCCCCTACCGCCCTGCTTCTTCCTGCAGCTGAGGTTGCCTGAGATGTGGAACCCCTTGAAAGCAGTTTCTGAATCATCTGTTCGTCGCGCTTAAGCTGCGCCTGCACAATGTGAGAGCTCGAGACACGTTTGCCAAGCTTCTCGCAGTGCGTGTAGTGGAAGCTGGCGAGAGTGCTATAGAGCGCCATCTTGCTGCGGCTCTTGGGGAGCGGAATATCCAGCATGACGCACAACACCCGTAGAGCCTCAACGTGGAGCTCAAGGAGGCTAAGGCCCACAACTTTATCAAGTAAGGTACGGAGATATGCCGCAATGAACTCTGTGTTGTCCACCTCTGATACCTCGGCACCGGTGTGGGGGCCAGAATGTTCCGTGCCTGTCTCAGCAACTGGGCGAAGCTCGCCACTCTCGCCTTCGTCTGCGTTTTTTGTCCCCTTTCCATTCTCCGCTTCAACTGCCCCCTCCTTCGCATCGTCACGGGGGCGTTTCACTGCGGCAGATGCAACGAGCGGAGTGGGCTCACAAAACTCCTCCGCCACGAGTGCCGGCTTTTTATGCCTGCACGTTCTGTACTGCCGTGCAGCAGCGGCCTCCTCGATGGCATGTCGCCAGCGCAACTTAACCTCGTCTGTGGCAGTGTGCAGCAGCCGCAGTGCCCGAGCGAAAATGCCTTTCCGTATTTCGTCCTCCTCGCTACGCAACGGCGGCTGCAGGCGCTCAAATGGGTTGTTGATGTTTTTCTTGTTCGCGCCGTCGTTGCTGTTGGTGTTGGCGGCGCCTACAACAGCCACCGCCGCGGCGCCGTCTAGCTGCATATGTCAATGTTTATGTAAAAGGGAACTGTGGGGCGGGGACGCCTGGCCTCCGCCACTGTGCCTGCTCTTCCAAACGCGAGTAATTCGTGCTCGGGGAACAGTAAAGTCGCTCCCTCCTTTGCCTCGTTGGTGTGGAGGTTGCTGATGGTGGTGGGCGGCGATGGTGACGGCCCTTCCCCCGAGAGGCAGAGCGAGGGAGTCAGAAAGAGAAAACGCCGTGCCGCCTAAACGCTACGACTGTTGGAGTAGGACCGAAGCACAAGCGACGATGTGACCTCCAAAGAGGCGGAGCACAAGTGCAAACAGAGAGCCAGGACGAAAAACACACAAACACACAGAAATGCACACACAAAAGGCGGAAAAGGCAAATGACAAGGACGATATGGGGGAAGAAAAAACTAAACGAATAACTCGAAAGTCGCTATCTCGTGTCAACCCGCCTCACTTTCCTTGCCAGCGCCGTCAGCAAGTTTGCTCAACGCCTCCCCCGCCGCCCCAGCCACACCCCCACGTGCACGCCACTTCTCCTCAAAGGACATGGTGGTATTCTTCGCCAGCACCAATGCCCGCCGTAGAGAGATCGTATTTCCCTCGTTCTCGCGTAAAACCGGCTCAAACGCCTCACGGTAGTCCTCGTAATATGCCGCCACAGAATCACGCAGTTGCGTATAGAGCGGTGTGTACAAAACGAATAACGCGGCAACAAGGAAGCATGTCACCCATAACACAACCCACTCCACTCGCTGCAAACGATCACTTAGATCTGCTGCCACATCTGTACCACTTTCCTGCGGAGGAAATGGAACCGTCCCGGTTTCGTCTGAGTGTGGAATCGGCTTAGATAAAAAGTGGCAAAGTGGCTCCCAGCCGCTTCCGTAACGATACACAAGTAACCTATCCTTCGGCACCACCGTCTTCACACGATCTTCTAGCATCTCCAAGACGGCTGCCACGGAAACTTTTCGACTCGATCCAGCCATACCCATAGTCATTTTCGATACCATTTGATGGAGATGGGCACCGGCTTGCCGCTTTGCCGCCTTCTCTGTCTGCCGCAGCAGCGGCTCCCAGATGGTCGCTGCATCCAACGCCCATGCGTCCTTGTCCACTTCCTCAACAAGGATAACACGTGTGCTCAGCGGGCACTCTTTCAAGATTTCCTCAAAAGCCAAGGTGCACGGCGGGCCCACCAAGGCATCAAAGCCTCCACTGCCGTCACTTGCCCCCTTGTCACTGTTGTCAAGCATGGCGGGGTTAAACGGTTTCTTTTTACTCAAAACCATGCACCACTCTTGTGGGTGCGTCGTCACGCGACCCTCTGTGAAGGTTTGCCGAAAGGTATATGGGGTGTACCCAAGCTGCTGCAGCGCCCGCGTCATCGCCCCGCCACCGGGGATCATTGTCAGGCAGAGCACCTTTGGCGGAGCACGCAGCCACTGGCCACGACGCCACATTATTGGCGTTGTTCCCGCCGATGCACTCAGAGCAATGAACAAACACCACAGCAATCAACTTAAAAAGGCTCGTTCTTTTTTTTTCTTTCTTCTTTTTTTTTTATCTGCTTGTGATTATTTGCGTCTCCCTCTCTCCCCTCCTTCCCCCTTCACCCCAAGTCCCATTCTTGCCTCAGAATGATTGAGCGGGGCGCCAGAAGTGAAGAGGAGGGATGTGAGGGAAAGTCCAAAGAGGCAGAAACCAAAAAAAAAAGAGTAACGCAGCGGCAATCCCACAAATACGTCGCAGCCAGAGTTATCAACCCCCACCCTCTCTCCCAATTAAGGCAAAAAAAAAACGGTTTAAGAATAGGACATTG